GATAACTCCCCCCAGCCCCTGGCTCTTCAGTGACCTGAGTGTGTCGGGTCTCAGTCCGGTTCCTGGCGAGTCCCCCCACCCAGCAGAACTCCAGCAACAGAAGGGCAAATTGAAGCCCATCGAGAGCCAAAACTCCAGGCAGGAGGGACCAAGAGCAGCGCGCACAGAGCCGGGGTGACAGTAACTTACATTTCTTACAGGCAGCCCCGTGGGGCCAGGGGTAGCAGGTTGGGGAGGTGCGATAGGATAGTACCCGTGTGAAATGGATCAAAGGGGTTTGGGGGTTGAGGGGATGGGGGGCTTGGGGCAGGAGAATGGGGGGATGAGAAGCTCAGGGCGGGGGGATGGGAGCCAGTTCTGGGCATCACAATTCATGAAAGATATGGAGACACTGGAAAAGGTCTAATTGGGGCAGGAGAATGGGGGGAGGAGAAGCTCAGGGCGGGGGGATGGGAGCCAGTTCTGGGCATCACAATTCATGAAAGATATGGAGACACTGGAAAAGGTCTAAAGACGAGCAACAAAAACAACTCGAGGTCTAGAAACCATGAGCTGTGAGGGACGACTGAAGAACTGGGCTGGTTTAGTCTGGAAAAGAGAAGACTGAGAGGGCAGGAGAATGGGGGGAGGAGAAGCTCAGGGCGGGGGGATGGGAGCCAGTTCTGGGCATCACAATTCATGAAAGATATGGAGACACTGGAAAAGGTCTAAAGACGAGCAACAAAAACAACTCGAGGTCTAGAAACCATGAGCTGTGAGGGACGACTGAAGAACTGGGCTGGTTTAGTCTGGAAAAGAGAAGACTGAGAGGGCACAGGAGAGCGGTTTTCAGGTACCTAAAAGGTTACACAAGGAGAAGGGAGGAGAATGGTTCTGCTTGGCCTCTGAGGACAGGACAGGACGCCAGGGGCTTAAACTGCAGCCAGGGAGGTTGAGGTTGGACATTAGGAAGAACGTCCCACCTGCCAAGGGGGGTTGTGGAGTCTCCATCCCTGGGGATATTTAAGAGCAGGATGGACAGATGCCTGGCAGGGACGGGCGATGCTGCTTGGTCCTGCCGTGAGGGCAGGGGACTGGACTCGAACTCTTGTGGTCCCTCCCCGTTCCAGTATTCCCTGGGTCTACGATTAGGCTTCATAGGGGCTTTCTTGGTAGCAGCTGAACAGGGGTCAGCCAGGCTGCTCTGTGATGGGCCAGGAACCAAATCACTTACCAGAACTGCCCCTGGCAACTTCCTGTTTCCTTCCAGTCCCCGGGGAGAGACAAAGCCCATCCTGGGAGCCCAGCCGCGCCGGCGTCTCCCGCTGTTAACAACAGTCCTGCTCAGCCAAAGCCTCCTCCATTACCCCGACAGCTCCTCCCCTGGGGTCCAGGGCGTGGGGAACCGGGCACTGTCCCAGATCACCCCCTAACTGGGTGTAACAGGAGTCACAGAATCCCAGGGCTGGAAGAGAGCTCAGGAGGTCATCAAGTCCAGCCCCCTGCCCATGGCAGGGCCAATCCCAGCACCTCCCATCGCCCTACACTAGTGCCAAATCCCTCCCCTTCCCAGAGCTGGGAACAGAACCCAGGAGTCCTGAGCCCCACTGCCTGGTGCTCCTCCCACTAGACCTCACTCCCCTCCCAGAGCGGGGAGCTGGGAACAGAACCCAGGAGTCCTGAGCCCCACTGCCTGGTGCTCCTCCCACTAGACCTCACTCCCCTCCCAGAGCGGGAGGGTTCCCTGTAAGCTGGGCACTTGTGTAATGGCCCAGGAGAGATTCCAAAGCCGCCCAGCTGATTAGCAGAGCGCCCACAGCTAGGTTTGTGTTTCTGCTAGTGGTGCGCACATGCCTTGGTGCACATACAATTATTCCACACAAGGATGGAAATGACTAGAGGGAACATTGGGCTAGGACGTAGGAGTCCTGATGGACAGCCCTGCCCCCCGCTATAATCGCTGGACCCACTCCCCCTCCCAGAACTAGGGAGTGAACCCAGGAGTCCAGGCTCCCTCCAGCTATAACCACTAGGCACCCCCCCCCTTACCATCTCAAGAGAGACTCAGTTTGACTCTGGCTCACAGTGAGGCACCTTAGCAGCAGGGGATTGTGTTAGGCAAGGGACGCTTCCCCTGCTCCTGACCAGGCTATGGCTAGTTTAGAGCTAACCAGAGCTTGGCCGGACAGGTGCTTAGCTGGGACTCAGGAAACAGGGGTTCAAGTCCCAGCACTGCGTGACCCTGCACTGGCTCCCCACAGAGATCTGCCGTGCTGTGTGAGGCAGGGAGGGGCTAACAGGGTGGGGCCCTGCTCGGTTACTGGCTCTGGGTGGTGCCTGCGTAGCTCCGCGCGGCCTGGACTCGCCACAGGGCTGTGGCTGGAAAGCAGATGCCCAGGGGAGGGAGAACGGGACAGGGACGGATTCTCTGTGGGGAGGGAAAAAACAAGCCAAGGGGCCCTGGGAATTAAGCGAACCCCTGGGCCACTGCAGAGGTGCCGGCAGTGGGGGGAGGCCAAAGGGCTGGAAAACAAGACGGTCCAGCCTCCCCCCCCCCGAGCCCGGGACCCCGCGG